TTTGAGAGAAGTATATTTGGATGAGTGATTATTTTTCTCTCTGAAAAATCTTTACTGTTGTCATTCTCTACAACATTTTTAAAAGCAGCAGATGTTGGTGGATCAGAGACTCAGCAGAGGCTTTTCAAGGCTTCCTGAGGTGCACTGGGGGCCGCGGGCTGTGTGCTGTTTGGGAGGAGGGGGCTGGACTCTTCGGGGTGTGTGACCGAGGAAGAAGGAGCCCCGTTCCAGGCCTTGGTCTCTGCGTGGGGGCCCGCGGGTCCCTCGGTCGGCAATCTGGGATTATATCGGAGTCCTCTCCTGCATTCCAGGGTCTTCTCATGCTGCTACAGAACCTGCCTACAATACACTGGGGCAACGAAGAGATCGGGCTGCTTCTCGCCGAGGCGTACAGACTCAAGTACATGTTTGCCGACGCCCCGAATCACTACCGCCGATAGGTGCTGTCTCCCCCGGGGACCCAGACTGCCCCGTCTCTGATGGCAATCTGATCACTGTGGCCACCGTGCGAGCCGTGGACCCCGGCCAGGGACCACTCCTGTTGTACAAAGCTCACGCCCGCTGCCCAGGTCTTAACTCTTCGGTGTCCACCACTCCGTGTCTCCGGATGTGTCACCTGGACCACTGTCAGTGTTCCATGCCATGCGGATGGGCCCAGGTCTGGGAGAGGACAGAAAGGGTGGTACAGGGTTGTCTGCCCCTTTAAAAGAAACTGAAAAAAAGAAGGGGAAGGCTCAGGGTCTCACTCCCATCGTCCCTACATGGACTGGCTGTTTCTCACCTCCAGGCCCCAGCTGATACAGTCGATTGTTGTGACACAACTTGATTTGATCACAGGTCAAAAATGCCTTATGTTTTCAAAAGACTCCTGGCCCCTCTTCCCTCTCCCTGGTTTCCTAGTCCTTCCCCTTCTGCCCTAGTCTGAGCCAGCGAGGGACAGCTTTTCAGTAAGACCGTTGCTCTAGATGGAAGAGGCACTGATGCTCATGCCCTGGGAAGAGGCCGACACCCAAGGGCTAAGGGCTTTGTTTTTCTTTTTCTCACCAGGTGTCTGTGTGTGTGGGTGTGAGTGTGTGTAAACACCCAGCAGCATTTAGTCACGTCTGGATTTCTGTGTCCAAACTAGCCCCATCAGACCCGTTGGGAAGGGCCCCAGTGACCAAGGTACAAGCGTCCCTTGAGAAGGATCAGGTCAGGGGAGGGAGAAGGGGCTGCTTACCTCTCCAAACCCTTTTTCCGTGATGACCCACTCCAAGATATTATGTGTAAATTGTGTTATTATGTATATGGGTAAAGATGTACAAATACGTCCTCTTCGTAGCAGATACGATTTTATATTTATAACGCGCATCAGCATGTGAAAGCAGCCTGGGTCACTTGCGCAGATGACGTTGCCAGGCAGGCGGCTGCCGCATCTCCAGGTTGGTTTCTGTGCCCCGCCGTGGGGAGCGAGCAGGAGGCTGCTGGAGTAAGTCTGGCCGAGCAGGTGGAGCCGCTGTGACAACCAGGGGCAGCCACCTCAGGCGTCAGTGTCTCAGAGCCCCCTTCTTCGCACCCCTCCCGGGCCTTTCTGGAACATCTGCCCTGACCCCCCACCCCCGGCAGCCAGCGCAGGAAGGGACTGCAGAGGCAGACACGTCCATTCCGCGTGTGTTCAGTTCCTGCCTTTCCCTGAACCTGGGGAGAGCTTTTGTTTTTACATTTTTAAGTCAGCATCGTGTTCAGGACAGAAGCTGTGACTGACTACTCAGTGCCAAGGAGGGATGTCCTGTGTGTCCCTGGGTTTGGGGCCCTTCTCAGAGAGCGGCATTCGCTGTCCCCCACGACCACCTTTGCACCCACGCAGCCCAGTGTTCCATTTTCGGTATTTGGTAGTGGAGGGCTGTTGGGGGCAAGTAGCTGTCATCCTCTTGAGCCAAGCAGTGTCCCCAGGGGGGTGACACCCGTGAGTCTCTTTGCCAGTGAAGCCCACACAGCACAGCAGTACGAGGTCGGTTCTCATCCGGAGCTGTTTCTCGGGCATTCTCCCCGCCTTCGGTGTGCCTCAGCAGTCTCCTTCGCAGAGCGCGAGGGCTCGGACCCCCTCGACTGGACTAATTAAAGAAAGACACTTGTGTTCCCCAAGTGGTGGTTTTATTTTTTTAGTTTTTATGTTTGTATGGGAAATTGTGGATAAAGTGAAAGAATTGTAAATAAATGGTGTATTTCCTCCTTCATCTGCGATTCCTCTCCCGTGCATTCGTGTAACCTGGAACCTAGGAGTCTCTTTTTCTTGGATTTTTCTTGGATTTTTCTTGCTGATACCAGTAGGCCCGGGGAAGGGGCACGCAGCGGATGAGCAGGTCGGAAGGCTTCTCAAGGGCATCGGCGAACATTTACAAGCACCTACTCTGGGAAAGACGCTGTGGAAATTACAAAAATGAATCACTTTGGTCCTGATAGCTGACATTTATAGAGTACCTTACCATGTGCCAAGCACAGTGATAAGCACTTTACATAGATTATTTCACTTATCCAAGAGGCCTGTATAATCTAATGAAGGGTAGAAAATGGGCCAGAATTTCAGTGCTGGATGAAAGCCTAGAGATATCTAGTTTAACACTCTCGTTCACGGAGGAAAACCCAACCCAAGGCCAAGGCAGGCAGCATCAGGGAGCCAGAACTAGAGTGCAGACCGCCCCTTGCCTGTTTGCCACCAAACCTTATAGAACTAAGACTGGCCCTCCACGTACGGTCTTCATTAAGCCTGTTTTGGTTATTGGCTGTCGGTTTTTCTCTTGGTAACCCTACTGTGAAATGTCTGAAGAAAGGTAGTTGACTACATATTTCATCGACCAAGGATAGATGCGGATGGTTTCTCTATCCAGAACTTCTTCCTAGTATTTATTTGAGAGTGTTTCTTGGTTTTAGTCATTAGGAACTGTGTAAGGACTAAATTCAGCTATGTGGAACAGAAACCAAAATTAGCAGTGACTTACACAAGGTGGAAATGTACTTCTCCCTCATGTAAATGTCCCAAAGTAGGCAACCCAGGGCTGGTATGGTGATTCTGTTTCACAAAATCCTCAGGAACCTGGACGCCTTCCCTGGGTCTTCATGGTCAAGACGGTGGCTAGTGCTCCCGCTGTTTTTACATCTACTTTCCAAGCAGCAAGATGGATTAAAGAGGGGACAAAAAGGAAGAAGGAAGCGTGCCAGCAGTGCTGTAAGAAAGCTTCCAGGAAGCTGTCCTGAAATATTTCCTCTAAAACTCTCGGCGGAACTTAGTCCAGGCTAGGTTGCACCTGGATGCAAGGGAAGTTGGGAGGATTGGTCTACTCTAGGCAGTAATACGCCTGGCTAAGAATCAGGATTCTGTTACTAGGGAGGAAGGAAAAACAGACATTAGGATTCAGGTAACAATCTTTACAGTAGGAACGTAAGAGAAAAAGTTGGAAGTAGAGACAGGCTTTCCCATAAGCATACAGTGGGGAATGTGACTTCAAAATTCAAGTGACTGGCCGGGCGCGGTGGCTCACGCCTGTAATCCTGGCACTCTGGGAGGCCGAGGCGGGTGGATTGTTTGAGCTCAGGAGTTCGAGACCAGCCTGAGCAAGAGCGAGACCCCGTCTCTACTAAAAATAGAAAATAAATTAATCGGCCAACTAAAAATATATAGAAAAAATTAGCCGGGCATGGTGGCGCATGCCTGTAGTCCCAGCTACTCAGGAGGCTGAGGCAGAAGGATCGATTGAGCCCAGGAGTTTGAGGTTGCTGTGAGCTAGGCTGACGCCATGGCACTCACTCTAGCCCAGGCAAAAGAGTGAGACTCTGTCTCAAAAAAAAAAAAAAAAAAATTCAAGTGACTGTCACAATTAACTTTGAAATTTAACCTTTGTCATAAAACATGGACACTTTCTACTCGATCTTATTTGGACTGAGGCCATTGATCCTGAGGCTAAAAATAACTAACCTGAACGAATCTTCATTTAAAAATTCTATTTTTTATTTATGTAGGAAGTCAAGCATTTTCTGAGATAATGTTTGATCGTGACTAGAAAATTTGATGAAACCTTCCAAACTAATCCTGGCATACTCTGACCTACGGTTTATCCAATGTTTCTGCAATCTAAATCTCTACAGTTTTACTTAAAATAGGCCCTTCCTGTGTTTTTATTCACCTGCAAAGTGATAGTGGCACAGACTCCTGAAATAGTGACCCTATTTGCTTCTAGAGGCAAGAGCCTCTTGTTGACAGCATTTGGCTTGTCTTCGGTTGGACTCTGCAGGTCAAAACAGCTATGTGAAGGCTTGAGGATTAGAGGCAGAAACTAAGCGCCAGTAACTGAGCCCTTCATACCTCTTGGACTTTCCAACACTTACTTCCTGGTTGGAGACAGTTTGGAAAGCTACTGTTGAGAGCAAGGTGGTGGTTTTAGATTCACGATGAAAAAGATGAGATTCACACAGAATCGGAGCATAAAGTACATTGCCACAGACAGAATCTTCTGAGCCTGTGCCAGCTTGCCAGGGTAGTTGCAGTACACCCACAGCTGTGGCAAGTCAAAGCATCCCCCAAGAGAAGGAGTCCCCTTGTTTTGGCAAAGGCCAAATTAGGGTTCTTGGAAGCAAGAAGAACCCCTGTGCGACTTGGTCCTGCAAGTCGTTTGTGAGATGTGGCTTCTGCATGGTGAGTGTGATTGTCCCTACCTGAAGTGACAGCTGTTGTGGGGAATCTGGCCATTTTTGCTTGTAGGGACACTAAGCTTGTCCCAATAGTGAGCCCACACACCTGAGGCACCCAGCCTAGCTACCTGACAGAGGAAAACCCAGACCTCTTCAAACTACTGGTCTCCAAACTTTTTTTCCCATCCTTTTAACTTATCTATGTCTTTACATTTAATGTGGATTTCTTAAAGACTGAGTGTAATTGGATCTTGCTCTCTGATCCAGTCTGACAATCCCTTGTTTTTAATTGGTGCATTTAGACCATTTACAGCTAATATGGTTGGATTTAGGTCTACCATCTATTTGTTTTCTGTTTGTTTCCTTAGTTTTTTGTTCCTCTCTCCTCCCTTTCTTGCCACCTTTTGAATAATTTGAATACTTTAATGTGTCTATTGACTTTTGGTTCTATGTCTATAAGTTTTAAGAGGTTGCTCTAAGGATTACAATATACATACCTAACTGTTCACTACTTACAGTTACTAGTTTTTCACTTCAAGTAAAATGCAGAAGCCTTACAACCATTTAGATCTTTTTTACCCTCCCTTCTTTATGTTATAGTTGTTATACGAGGGGTCTTCAAAAAGTTCATGGAAAGCATGTATTATGAAAAAACTATGCAGGGATTTCAAAATTTTTTTGCACCAAAATAAACTCATACTAATTTGTTATAGGATCTATTTTGAGGCAGTAAGAAGGATAAGACATCAGTTTGAAAAGATCCCCTATCAGAGCAACAGAAATTCTGCTAAAATTGAAATAAGAATAAATGTCAAATTTATGGTGAAGCTTGGGTAGAAGAATGGTGAAATCATTGATGTTTTACAAAAGGTTTCTGGGGACAATGCTTCAAATCAGCAACTTACAAATGGATAACTTGTTTTAAGAAGGGATGAGATAATGTTGACGATTAAGCCTGCAGAACCAGACCACATCGATTTTCAAGGAAAAAATTCAACTTGTTCATGCCCTAACTGAAGAGGACCGATGATCAATAACATAAACAATAGCCAACACCATAGACATCTCAATTGGTTCAACTTACACAATTCTAACTGAAAAAGTTGAGCAAACTCTCCATTTGCTGGGTGCTCAAACTGTTGCACCCAGATCAGCTACAGACCAGAGCAGAGCTTTTTTTTTTTTTTTGAGACAAATTCTCACTCTTTTGCCCGGGCTAGAGTGAGTGCCGTGGCGTCAGCCTAGCTCACAGCAACCTCACACTCCTGGGCTCAAGCAATCCTTCTGTCTCAGCCTCCCGAGTAGCTGGGACTACAGACATGTGCCACCATGCCCGGCTAATTTCTCTATATATTTTTAGTTGTCCAATTAATTTCTTTCTAT